GTTTTCGTGGATTACTTTTGGTTGCTACACCGCAAGCCGCGAACTTCATCAATCTCGCTAGCTCCATAAATCTCTTCATTGCAAAGGGCGGTGCTCTATTTGTTGTCGCAAGTTCCATTAATAGCTTTCGTCGCAAAGGCGGTTCTCGATTTGGTGCAAAAAGAAGCTCTCGGTTTACAGTGTCTTTGCAACGTCGTCTTTTGTTGCGCACCCATCATAATCTCTTTATGTTTTTTGCAGTATGTTTGCGCCGACGTCTAACATTGTGCAAACTATGTTTGCACCTTGAGGAAAGTTTTATTGACGTTGATCCTTGCAAAGGCAAACTGCTTTGGTATGCAAAGTGCCGTTAATCTTTGCAAAGTTATTGATTTGCAAGTGTTTCTGCCCACGGTTTTGCCGCTGTGCATATTGATTATTGGTTGTTGGTTTGCAAATTATTTGATCTTGGTTTGCAAGTTATTTTAAGGATATTTTTTTCCTGGAATGGTTATTAGTGCAATATTGCAAGATTTGATTTGAAAGAAAGCAACTCGTTATTGTGATTATGAGTATTTAGTCACAAGCTGTTGGATATATATTGATGATTTTTAGAGGGATAAACAATATTGTTTATTGGGGTTTCGTCTAGTTTTAATTGAGATATTTTCTATTCTTTAATTGCTTTTTACTGATCTTGTCAGCTTTTTAACTCTCTTTACCTCTTTGTAATGGCAGATTTAGAACTTAACTTTAACATTAAACTTACTATTGTTCCTTTGAATGGATGTAATTATCTTGCTTGGTCCAAAGCTGTTTCTCGTTTTCTCTTTGGAAAATCTAAACTTGGACATATGAGTAGGAAAAAAATCATGAATTTTGATTTCAAAACCTCTCAAGAAAGTATTGAGACCTCTCAAGAAAGTATTGAGAAATTTTCCATGGTTACTAATAATGAGAAACTATGAAGCAAAACTGCATTAAAGTAGTGATAATAAGGCAACAGATAGATCTACTACTCATACCGCAACCACTCAAACCCATCACTGCAACTGTGACCATTATCAGTAATTGAGTAACAACAATGGTTCTTCCGCCACACAAGATTCTTCTTCTTTATTCCCGGATATAGGTAGCCCCTAGACTCTTATGCCTTCCTGTGACACTTTTTTCTTGGATAATAGACTCAGGGGTCACAGATCATATGACTGGTAACTTACGGTGTCTATCTAAAATAAAACATAATAAAAATATGAACCATATGTCTATTGCTAATGGTTCATTGATTCTTTCCCATGGTGTTGGTAAGACCAATTTTTTTTCCAAATCACAAAATTCTGAAGTCCTTTGTACGTCATTATTTTCCTCTAACTTGATGTCAGTTAGTAAAATTACTCAGACCATGAATTACAATGTTATTTTTTCTCTTAGCTCTGTAACTTTCCAAGACCGAGCCACGAGGAGGAAAATTAGTAAATAAATACGTCTTATGGGCTATATTTATTCAATCAAAATTTTGATATTAACAAATTGTGGCATTAGAAATTTCGACACCCTTCAGATAAAATTTTAAAATTGCATAGTAAATATAAAAATCTCAAAGTTTTAGAAACTTCAAGTCTATGGTTCCCCATTACATTTTGGTTATGAGGATCACCATCCGGCTTCTTTCGTGTGTATACACGTGCAACCATGAATCGCTCATTAATGATGTACACATGGCACACTCTACCATGCATATTTTACAAACTTCAAGTCTATGGTTCCCCATTTCCTATCCAATGTCATATAGCTATTTTTTTCTTATTGTTATCGATTTTATATAGCTATTGTAGAGAGATTTGATGCGTTCAATCGGAACCGTCCAGACCCAATAATTTGTGGGTCAATAATAATTGACAAATATACTAAGCCAATGAAGTATCTATTTATAGCCCTGACCACTCTACAAAAATTAAGAAAAATATGTATTTTTCTCTCGACCGTTCACCATTAAGGGGAACAACCTGTGCTCAAGGGCCAAAGACAACCCCACTTTCCATATTTCTTATCGATCCAACTTGTTGGTCCATCAAGAGACGCAGTTATTAGACAAGTTGTTGGACTATGCCCTTCATTGTGTCAAACATCCACTAGAGTCTATTTGCTATGGTGCTTTTAAAAAACAAAAAAGAAGTAAAACAAACGGTGGGAAAAGCATTTCAAAAAAATTAAATTTTCAATTTGCAAAATTTAACTTCTTTCTTATTCATGATCGAAATTATCGACCCCAAAAAATTCACACCAAAATACATTTTTGAGGATTAATGGAAGAAGGAAAGGTCGAAAATTGAATTCACCTTTTTCCTCAGCCTCAAACAAATAAAAAATCAGCAATTATGGAGAAAAGCTTGGATGTAAATTAAGCCAAAAAAAGGAGAATTTTTGTTTGCTAATAAAATAACATTCATTCTAATAACATAAACATCCCAAAATGTGACTTCCAACCTATTTTAATTTTAGTTTTGGGGCTTATTTTTAAGGGTTTTAAGCTTTTAGGGATATTAGGATATTCTATTTCTTTTTCTTTTTTTACTATTCATTGATTACTACTTACAGGTACTATTCATAGGAACTATTTATGAGTATTATTCACATGTTACTATTCAAAAGGGTAAAATGGTTATTATTAATTTTATATTTAAGTTCGGATTTTTTGGGTCATTTTGTTTATTGTATAGATATTTAACTACTTCGAATATTAAATTATAATACATAAGAGGCTGGAGCCTTCAGGGGGTTCATTCCACATGATTTTAAGGGGAAAAAAAAGAGAGAAAAGCTAAGGCCTTTTAAACCTTCGCTTAGGGTGAAGAGGAAACACACACTTTCTCCTAATTATTACTCATTGGAAAAAATGTATATATAGTTGCAATCTTAAAATGTAGAATGAAAGGTGCGCCTAAAAAATCTATCATAAAAGGTTGTTTGGATGTTGGAAAACCCTCTAATTGATCATCTCGACATCGAGATGTATGAATATGAAAAGAAAAAAAGATTTCAAGATCGCGAAATAGTGTATCTGACAATACATTATCTGGACTGTCTATTTTCAAGATTTTCATGTGTTTATAGATCTATTTGATTTGAACCATTTTTAGAGTTTAAAATTTTATAATTAGAAATGAAAATAGATTCTCAAGCCATCCTAAGAATTTTTAATATCAAAATTATATTTATAATAAAATTTAGAGGTGGGCCTTATTTGGATTGTTTAAGGTTGCAATTTTATGCAAACCACACCCTTACTTATTTGACCTAAATTAGTATTATTTGGGTGTTGCTTAACCTTGAACAATCCAATTAAGGTGCACCTCCAAATTTTATCGTAACATGTAAATTTGGTGTACAAATTTTTTAGGATTATCTCAAAATCTATTTTCATGTCTAAATATAAAATTTTAAACTCCAAAAATGTTTAAAATCAAGTTGATCTATAACATATGAAAATCTTGAAAATGAACAGTCTAGATAATGTGTTGCAAGATGCACTATTTCTAGGACTCAATTTTTTATTTTTTTTTCATATTTATATATCCCAATGACAAGTTAGAAAGCTATTCAACATTAAAACAACCTTTTCCAACAGATTTTTTATGTGCATCTTTAATTCTACTTCAACGAAGCATGTAAATGGATGAGTGGGTTGATTCATCAATAGCGGATCATACATTAGGAAAATTGTTTCACGCGGGCTGGACCGCATTTCTGCATATGCGGTCTAGAAAGTGTAAAGCATCCATCTTCAAGATGGATGCAAGTAGGTGTTCCATCTAAAAACAATGGAAACTAACGTTCCAAATAATTTCTTACTAGAATTATTATTTCTAGTTTTTAAAATTTATTTATTTTTTCATATTCATTATCTCCATGGTAGAGATTTCATATCCTTAAAAATTAAAAGGAAACTTACAAAAAAACCCCCAAGACTACACTTTCTACGCAACTTACCCCCAACGTAAGTTTTTCTCACTTTTTTCCCCAAATTGCACTTTCTATGCAACTACCCTCCCAATTCAAAAAGTTAATTTTTTTAGATGAAAATGCCCTCCTCATACACAAAAAAACATTTTGACTAGATATTTATGTTGACTAACCGACCCCAGTGGCACATTGCCGGACCGCACTAGTAAACCGCCAAACCCATGTCATTTCTATCGGACCAAACTTGTCAACAGCCGAACCCCGTGTTTACAAGAAAACATCTACGGGACCGATCTTCCCAATTGCAGGACCGTACAGGTAAACTGTTGGAGCGGCTCTATGATTGCCGGACCCCTTTTTGATCCAGTAACTTCTACTGCCGAACCGCCACAGTGACCTACTGGACTAAAGTTGCACACAGCCGGACCGCCCATAGAACATGAGGAGAGAGAGGCGTGGGTAGGGAAAAAAGAAAGGAAGGGTAATTTGATCCTATTTTACCTTTTTTTTTTTTGGTTGGAGGGTATTTGCATAGAAATTGTGTTTTGGGGAAAAATGTGAGAGAAAATTTTAAATTGAAGATAAATTACATAGAAAGTATAATCTTGAAAGTTAATTTTCCTTAAATTATATCTTGAAATCTATTTTTAAAATAAATTTATTAAGTGGCTCGCATTTCTACTTATGTGGGCTTGGCCGCATAGAAACCGGATGCCATACATTAAAAGAAGAAATAGAGATGACACTCAATTCAATGCACTTTTTAAAGAACCTAGCCGTTGGAGGCCAGGCCTTCATAGAGAATCTCAACGCTTTAAGGAATATCAACACCTCTTTCTAAGTTGTCTTACCCTCTGTCAATCCCTAATCTTGGGTCCCATACAAATCACCCAAGACGTTTTAAAAAAACTAGCCGTTGTCCCCAAGCCAGCGTACAAGTCGACATGTGTCCATTCCCCATTGGATGTCAGCTTCGTAAGTGTAGTTGGGAGGAAGGTTCATTACTACAAAGAATCTCACAACCTTTTATTTCTCACGCGTCTTGGAGCTGTCACACACTGAACTTGATAGAAACCCTAATTTTATATTGAGGAAGGATGAAAGCCTAGTAAATGAGCTGGTGGGTTTATTTATTTGTATTCTTTCATTTTTGACATGCACTATTTCTACATTCATAATTCAATGTGAATCAAGACTTGCAAGCTCTCAATGGATGGTTTAGATGAGATCTCCTACAATGTGGGCCATTAGATTTCCTTTTTCTTATTTTTTATTGACAAGATGCCAATTTTTTAGTCTAGAACTTATCATACATGGACCTAAATTGCATGTATATATATTAGACTTGAGTGAGCTTCATGTAGACAATAACATTTCATTCTACTAATGTGAAGTGAGTCTTCGTACAGAGTCTATATCTCTTATTACTTACAGAAGCCATTAAACCTAAAGCTTTTTCCCACCAAAGGTTTTAGTACAACTTATCACTATGATGAGGGATTTGGGTGCTTGTTCTAGGTTTTTATGTGGGATTTTGCAAGGTCTTATGTCCACTCTAGCCTTCTTTTACTGCCTTGGGGATTGCTTGAGATTAGGGTTCCCGAAGCTTTTACATGCCACATCAATGTTAAGATGGCCACCTTGTGAGGCCAATGAAGAGAAGAATGTGATCCCTAACTTGGATGCCTTCCTTTCTGGGGTCTTGACCAATGTGTTCCATATGAACAAGGATGGACTCATAATGAAGGAGACAATCAGTAGGGTCTTGAGAAATTTAGGGTTGATAGAAGAGGAGGAGCAGTTTGAGAATCCCCCAAATGGAGCTGAAGAGATCCAAGTCAATGACTTGTTGAGCATCTGCAACAATGCCGTGGATGCGACAGACAGTCAAGATGTCACTGAGAATGAAAGCTTGTTGATGGAAGCTTTCAAGGTGTTTGATATGGATGGTGATGGCTTTATATGTCCCTCAGAGCTTCAACTGGTTCTTGATGGTTTAGGGCTCTTAGAGGGTAGAAACATCAGTGAGTGTAAGAAAATGCTTCAGATGATGGATCTAAATTCAGATGGAAAGGTTGATTTCATTGAGTTTGAGCACATGATGCTCAAGAATGGGATGATGTAAATAACCTTTCATAATTTGCAAATGAGAAAAATTTTATGCTAAAGATATCCCTATGTACACAAGGGCAATAAAGTTCTGTCATGTAGATTGATACTCTTTCCTCTAGTTTCATTTCTCTCATAAATTCGAAAAGGAAGATATGGAGCGATTCAAATGTAAATCATGTAGATTCTTTCTTTCTAAGTCCTAACATTTTTTTTTTGCCCTTTTGGAGGTAACCTCGGACCCTTGATCCCATTTGGAGAAATTCGGGGAGAGTACAACGATATTTCAAGGAAAAGTATACAATGAGACTATTTATCTTTGGTATAAGGTAGTCATAATTAATCTTGAGTATTGGATATGAAATTTGGTAGTTGTATTTATTCCATTGACCAAGCCAAAATTCAAAAGAAATTTTTTTGAACTTTGTGACACACCCCAACTATCAGATTGCTCATAAGATAGATACAAGTAATTGTGACATCTTTGTACCAAAGGTAAATAGTCTCATTATATACAATCTCATATTTCAAATATGAAGAATTTTACATGAGACGGTAGATAGCATAGTTATCTAGTTTGGAAATGGACCAGTCGATTGAACACCAAGTGGCCTCCTTGCCAGTTGGGTTAAAATTGGAAATATCATAAAACTGGTTGTTGACATGTCAGAGTTTTGCATGTCTTGTGAGCCCTTTCCTAGCCCATAATTTGAAAGTTTTAGCCTAGATTTGGCCAAATCTCTTAATGTTTTTTTTTTTTTCCTTCTTTGTTTTTAACTTTTACTCTTATCCAATCTAATCATATTTGTAATATGATCTCTTAGTTTTTGCCAAATAATCTTGACACCCGCTAAAACCCTACCTTGTTTGTCTCTCTTCCTAATCCCCCATGGCTAAGTATTTTCATAATTTTTTGAATTTCGACCAAATTACTCAATTTTTAATGCAAATAGTGAAACATGGGCACCTTACCGTATTTCTCTTTCTATTGTATTTCCTTTTGCAATTTTTTTTTTTTTAAAACATAATTAGACGTGTCTTTTACCCAATGTAATAGTTTTTCCTCCATCTCTCTCAATCACATTATTGTGCTAGATTCAAAGTCTTAATCAACTACTTTTGAGCTCAAACTTTGATAATATATTATAATCGAAGTCATGATGCATTGCTTTTGAACTTAAACACTATGATCACCAATTTGCAAAAACTAAACCCTAGATTCCTCCTTTTTGTTTCTAGTATTTCTACATTTATTACTTAATTCCCTTTTTTATGATTTTAATTAATTATCTAACTTTTATGTACAAGTGTTTCAAAACATATGATTTCAACAGGACTGGTCTCATCACCAGTATGGCACAATTCATCCTTGACAACAACAACTTAGAGCACTTGCTGCCGTTTTGGTGATCTAGATCAATGTTGTTGCCTATCTTAGGTGAAACATCTCAAAACTTCCCCAATTCAAGGTTCAAAACTCTGTAATTTTCCCTATTAAACTAACCAGTGCCAAATGAAGTAAATAACATTGATTGTTTGGGATTCAAACCCAGATAAATTTTTTTTACTAATATATCTTATTTTTATTAAAATATCTTCTTTTGTATTTGAAACCTAAAACATTATGTCATTTGACTCAATACCATTTGATTGAAAACAAAATGACAAACCTTATTTGTCGTGAGAATCATCTCTAACTATAATGATATTGTTAAAATTAATTTACCCTGAAAAATTAAGGCATTTCTACATTATTGTGATAAAAAACTTCCCCGGAAATTTAATTTTGAAAGCAAAGCAAGAAAATTAAATTTGAAAAGAAAAATTCCACTTTAAGGCCTTTACTAAAGGGACCCGGTTTCTATGTGGCCAAGCCCGCATATGTAGAATTGCGGGCCTCTTAATAAATCTACTTTTGAGATGGATTTTAAGATTTAATTTTTAAGGACGTGTAATCTCTAACATGGAGATCATGAATATGAAAAAATTAATAAATTTTAAAAACTAGAAATAATAATTCTAATAAGAAAACATTTGGAACATTAGTTTTCATTGTTTTTAGATGGAACACCTACTTGCATCCATCTTTAAAATTGATGTTTTACACTTTCTGGACCGCATATGTTGAAATGCGGTCAAGCCCACATGAAAGAATTTTCCTTACTAAAAACAGCCCCAAATTCGAAATAAAGCAATTGCTTAGCATTTTTCCAAGGCATTGATAATTGATTATGGGCATGTAACTTGAACCCGTGAAGTTAGATAATGATTTGGATATAAAAAAAATACATATTGAACTCTTTCTAATATTTCAGGTTTTATATGCATTAAACATTATTTTAAAACTCTATTATTATCGAAGTTTTCAACAATTTATTTTTTCTATTGTGTATTATAAAAATTCATGTTAGCTAATGGCGTGTGTGATGTGTGGTGCCTTTGAGGAATCATTAAATGGAAAATATTTTTACATTTGCTTGACTAAAACTAAATTTTTATTTTAAATATTTTTATCACAACTATGTATTTTTAATGGAAAATCATACAAAAAGATCATTTACTTTTAGTACAAGGAAACCACAATCATCTTTGTCCATCAGATTTTGAATCGGACGGTTGTAAGTGTGTCATTGACTAGACTCATAATTCAAAAAAAAAAAATTTCTCTCCCTAAGCCATCCAATTTGATATCTAATGGCTATAAGTGATTGTAACATCCTTACAATAATACTAAATAGTTTCTAGTACACAATCCCATTTTTAATTCATTCAATGTTCGCTATTTAATTTCATTATCCAACTTTTTCAATTTTTGGGTTTTTGATAAGCTAAATACTACTAGATACTCTTAATTTGATACTCCTATATTTTTTATATGCATAATGAGCATATAGAAGCTCTTTCCAAAGTTCTTATTGTTGTACTATAGTAGTACTATAGTATTGCTGTTTTCTGTAATAGTTCATTCTTTAAATCGTTATCCGGCTAAGATATTAAAAAGAATTTTAAAGAGAAATTGATAAAAAAAAATTGGCAACTTTATTAGTGAATTTGTACAACAAATCAAAGTGATTTTTAAGCAAAGAAAATATAAAAATGGGAATTTAGAGAGAGAAATGGCCAAAAACATTGAAAATTTAGAAGGAAAATAAGATCGGTTAGAGAATTGAAAGTCAATTATTTTCCCATATATGGATTTATCTACCTTATGATACATGATATGTCACTTCAATAATTGCACTTCGGAAGAAATTTAGACCAGAAAGACCAACCATATAATATCCCATTAAAATTTGCTATCAAATTTTTATGGGGAAATTTATAAAAATAACCAATTTATTTTGAAATTTAAAATGTAGTCTCTTATATTTCATGTTTTACGCTCAAGTCCCACTTTTTTAGAAAGCGTAGTATATTTTAATTCTATTTTTCTTTATGCATCCTATTAAGCTCAAATTTAAGGGGTTCATGCTTCTCACCATCATGTAATGATAAAAAATTTTAAAATAATAATAATGATAACCAAAATACCCCACAAGGATCAAGGGTATTTTGATAAATTTAATTTGAAAAACTTATCAAAATAACCAAGAAATTAGCTATTGAATGTTTTACTAGTAAATTTTGATATAATCTCAAAAAAACCCATCAAAATGTACATGACCATGAGTTTACATATTTGAAAATAGGTAATTGTTAGGAAAAGAATCCTGGCTTAATTGGTTATCGCTCGAAGATTTACAATGTTATGTCCTAGGCTCAATTCCTACCAAAGGTAGGGCCCTCTCCCCAATAAACTCACCTAAAAAAAAGTAATTGTTAAACATTTGATATAAGGAGATACTTCTTATACATTTCAACTATCTCAAATTCACATATACAACACTTGTGAGAAATAAACATTTGATACATTTCAATATAACACTGGTGAGAAATAAACATTTGATATAAGGAGGTACTTCTTATGCATTTTGATATAAGGAGGTACTTCTTATACATTTCAACTGTCTGAAGTTCACATATACAACAGGTGGGAAATAAACATTTGATATAAGGAGGTACTTCTTATACATTTCAACTATCTCAAGTTCACATATACAACACTGATGAGAAACATGCACACCTCAAATTTGAGTTAAACTGATATATAAATAAATAAATAACATTAAAATAATCGCATATACAACACCGGTGAGAAATAAACATTTGATATAAGGAGGTACTTCTTATACATTTCAATTATCTCAAGTTCACATATACAACCCTGCTAAGAAATATGCACACCTCAAATTTGAGTTAAACTGATATATAAATAAATAAATAACATTAAAATAAGAAACAAGTTGTTCACATACAAAACATGATGAGAAATATGCACACCTGAAATTTGAGTTAAACTGATATATAAATAAATAAATAACATTAAAATAAGAAACAAATTTATACAAAGTTGAGGTTCTAAACAATCAAATTAAAGCCAACCTCAAAACTTTCACTAGAAAAGGTTATTTCGATGGCCAAATATCATCAAATTGATCATCTTTCAAATTGATCATCTCGACATCAAGATGCATGGACATGAGAAAAAAAAATGGATTTCAAGTTTTAGAAATACTACATCTTGTAATGCATTTTTACAAAGTCAATTTTTAATATTTTCAAGTTTTCATAGATCTACTTGATCTACACTTTTTAAGGCTTCAAATTTTATAATTAAAGATAAAAATATATTTTAAGGCTATCACAAAGATTTCAAGTATTAAAACCACATTTTTCAAGTATTAAAACCGTTCACTTGACTTTGATTGTTTAGAGCCGCGATTCTATATAAATTGCACCCTTAAAATAAATTATATATATATATATATAAGTAAAAAAAGTGGGACTTCGGTATAAAATATGAGTAAAATAGAATCGCTAAAAAAGTGGGACTTCAGTATAAAATATGAGTAAAATAGAATCGCTAGAAATTTCCCTATTAAAAAATATTATTAACCTTTTTTTTTTGTTTTGGGTAACTGAAAATCTTGGTGAGGCCCTTAAACAATCTAATTAAGGTGCACTAGAAAAATTCATTAGAAAAGGTTGTTTAGATGCTAAAAACTCTAAAATTCGATCATCTACTAAAGATTTATGGAAGTGAAAAAAAATAGATTTCAAGTCTTGAAAATAATGCATCTTGTAATGTATTATCCAGACGGTGAGTTTTCAAGATTTTCAAATATTCATAAATCTACTTAATCTACACTATTTTTTAACTTTAAATTTTATAATTAGATTTAAAAATAAATTTTCAGGCCATTATAAAAATTTATGATACTGGAAAATACATTTAGGCACTATTTGAATGTATGCCTACTTTGCTTGTTTAGCGCCTCGGCCTTATACAACCCACACGATTATATCACATCGACACAATATTTTCAGGCCCTGGAATTCTTTACTTTTTAATATCCGTACATCTCTAGAATAATCTGTGTAGGACCGTCTGATTGCTATAGAACAATCACTGAAAACCGTCGGATCCATAATCTAACGGATGATATTGCCTAATACTAGTCAAAAGTTTACAAAACACAGTTGACACGCCTCTCCATCACTTAGTTGTGGAGCTCAGCGAGAAACTGAGAACCCGAGAAGGGCAAAGTTAGAGAACGAGAGCAAGAGAAGGGGGGAGCGTAACAAGAAGAGAGAGAGAAGAATGGAGTGTAGAGAGAGAGAGATGGAATGCAGATGTGAAATAGGGAAACCCGTGGTGATGCTGATATGTGGAACCCTAATTTATTATCATTGCGCTATTCGAAACTCGAGCATCGTCTCTCTCATTTCAGACGTCTTCATCGTCCTCCTCTGCTCCCTCGCCATCCTTGGTCATGCTCTTCCGTCCAGATCAACATAGCGTATTCTCTCTCTCTCTCTCTCTCTCTCTCTCTCTCTCTCTCTATTTAGTTTTTTTTTTTCTTTTGAATCTTTCTCTCTGCTTTGTTTTCCGTTCTGATTAAGAGCTTGATCATTTATATTTCGATATTATTGATCATACGTAGATTTTACGAGCCGTTTTCTGCTAGAATAGTTGTCATTTATCAATTGAAGCAATTTCTTTTCTTAATGTGTTGTATTTCAGTTAGGGTTAACTGGTTACTTAAGCTAGGGCAGTTATTTATCTGTAATTGTTGAATTTACGAGTAAATTTGGATTTAATATCATTTACTCATTGTGTTCACTATTTATTTTGAGGGATAGTTTGCTAGTACTTAGCAATTGTTTTTTAGGGCATAGGCCTTTGATATAGGGAATTTTTTTTATTCTGGAAATTTGTTCAATTATCAGTTATCAAGTTATCCTCCTCTTTGATTATTTGTTGTTGATTATGAAGAAGGAAAGCTGTTGGTTCCAGGACTCAACTCGACCAGGGTACTCGCCCATTGGCTCAGGCAAGTTACTCGGGCGAGTCCAATTAACTCACCTGAGTCCAACTCATTCAAAATATAAATAAAAGAAAAGCAGAAAATTATGCTGCATCCATATAACGTGCTTTTTATTTACAAAAATGTTCGAATGGCGGCTCAAAAGGTGTCATGGGCTCTCCCTAGGAAGTCTGGAGATGAATCTACTCTAATGGCAGTTTTTTTAACCTCTACTAAAAAATAAATAAAATAAATCTATATGCCTTGTAAGTTGGTCCAATTGCGTTTGAGGGAATTCGAACACCTAATGTGAGGGCTATAGATGATAAACTCTAGTTATATGACATAATGTAGAGTGTACAGCCTACCCCGGCCTCACTAATAGGGCAAGTCCAAGTAACTCGCCCAAGTCCAATTCATCTCAGGCAAGTCATGGAACATTGGGTATAGCCAATGTTCTATGACTCGACCTCACCCTAGGGTGTAAACCCTACATTATGTTATACTATAAATAATATTTGTTCGGTTTATTCTAAGTAACAATCTAAATGTCTTTTTGGCTAGTGTTTACAGTTTACAGTTTATGGGCCTCACGGTTTTGGTGCAAGGCCTCCCTCAAACACCACCATACCACCCTGTCCCCTCAAAACAGCTCTCTACCACCCTATCTTTTTAAATGCATGTCTTGGCTTTTTGCTATGGGCCTCATACTTGGGGTTCGAACCCCCTCAAGCACCACCATACCACCCTGTCCTTTTAAATGCATGACTTGTTTTCTTTTTTTCTTTTGTTTTTTTAAGGGTTCGAAAATAATGACAATGTGGTAATTCGATCCTCCCTGAACCTCGTGTTGAGAGGGCACATTGTCTAACCAAGATGTTGTTGTAAGCTTCTTTTAGGACGAGGTTATGGCATATAATCAAATTTTGTTTATTTAAGGGGGTTCAAAAAAATTGTCCATGGGGTGGTTCGATCCCCAAACCTCCTGTAAAGAGCCCACAACATCAAACTGAGGCGCCAATTGAACGTTATTGTGAACAAAAAATATGTTATATACATAAAATGTAGTTTTTTGTTTTCCTTTTAATTTTTTTCCAATGTGGGTTGGACACAGGTGAGTTACTTAGACTCGCTCGAGTAACTTGCCTCAGCCAATGGGTGAGTACCCTGGCCGAGTCGAGTCCCACTACCTTGGGTGTAGCACATGGATTGATTACATCTAGTCTATATAAGTTAGGGCAATTAAACGATTTCAGTAATGGCCATATCATTGTTTTCATTTTTTGTTAGAAAGTAGAAACTTATAATCAAGGTATCGGGACTCGACTCGGCCAAGGTACTCGCCCTCATTGGCCGAGGTGAGTTACTCAAGCGAGTTCGAGAAACATAGGGCTGGAGGTGGACAATTTAGAATGGAAAATAGAGTCGGAATCGGACTCCTGCCGAATAGGGACCCAAATCCGACTTTTTAAACATTCGAATACTATACTAATATATCAAATCGTTATATCTTCATAATTTGAAGCAATTTGTTATTAAAACTTTTAAGAACAAATTGCTTCAAATTATAAAAAGATAACAACTTGAAATAATGTACGAAAATATATTATTCGAATATTTGGTGCAGTGACCCAGATCATTGAATGTTACTGTGGGCAGTCCAATTCTTTCATGAGCTTGATTTTCAAGTATGTAGGACGATCATATGTTTCATGGTTATTTTGCATTGCCTTTTTTGCTTTCATGAGGCAGGTGGAAATGGGTCATCTGTAGCCTAAAACTATGTCAACTTTTGGCATATGCAAATTGGATCTAGTTTATTAAGGCTCCTACTATTTTGTGGAGCTTTAGAAGGAATGAGAATGAAGGGAAGATAGTTCAGTGGAAAACTCACATCGATTTGTGAGGGAACCATTGGCTTTAGGAGTGCACGAATTCTACAGAGCTTTAGAAGGAATGAGAATGAAGGGAAGATAGTTTAGTGGAAAATTCATATCGATTTGTGATGGAACCATTGACTTTAGGAGCACGAATTGTACCCTCTTATTAGTAAGGTCAGTTTGAGAAGTTTGGAGATTCTTCTTTGCCAATTTGCTCACATGAGCACATTAGGAGAAGGGAGTTGGAATCAATCCTATTTCATACTCAATTTAGGGGTACTTTTATGTAATGGTCATACTGTATTCAAAAGGTTTTAAATTTTGAAACCCTGCCAAGCCATTGGAGTCGAGTTCTAGTACCAAAAACACAATGACAAGAACTAGTTCCGAGGACTCTGGAAATAGATCCCTCAATGTGGAAAATAGACGGTATTATGTTCCTCCATTGACAACAGGAGCCGAGTGACATGCCAGCGCTACTAATTGAGTGCCAACACGTAGTTGTGCTGTCAATTAGAAGGGAGCCGGCGCCTTTCGATTCCTAGTGTGAACCCGTCTAGTCAAAGCGGAGCGAGTGCTTTGATGCGAAACATCAAAGCCTAGCCATAGTAGTGAGTGCTTTGATGTGTAGCCTATGCGGAACATCTTCTCGCTTGGAGCTTCGCAAGAGCAAAAAGCCCTGCCAATAGTTTGACCTTGCTAGAGTGCTTTCAAGGTTACGACGAGAGTTGGCGGCGGAGGAAGACTCGGCATGACGGCGAGCCATAGGTTGCCTAACTTGTTTTCGTTGACCGCTACTAGAAACGAGCTTAATAGCGTAGAACGAAACTCGTTTAAACTCCACTCGTTCTCCGTTGGCTTTGGCTCCACAAGTTACGTTATTGAGAATGGTTTGATGGTTTGGTGCAGCGGGTGGCTTTCCTTCCTCTTTCAGCTAGTCTTGTATTTCTGATTAGTTAGTTAAAATGGCCATCTGTCAGAGACGGGATAGCCACTTAGGGTTGATAGACTCGAGTCAGTAGATCAAATGTCTCTCCCCACCTCTTCTTTGCCATTCTTCTGCCTTGGAGCATGATGGAAGTCAAGTTGATACGCCTATAAAGAGAGAGACTCTCCTCGCTCTCTCCCGTTACAATTCTCTCGTCCTGAAAAAAGTGGTTAATACATAGATAAAGAGACTCGGCTCGTTAATACATATATGATACCGTTGTTCCTCAGTAGCTCAGTGGTAGAGCGGTGGATCCAATATAAGATGAGCATTCATTATCAGATGGACATGTGTATCCATAGTTTTTTGCACGTATTGATACACCATGAACACAACACTCATTTTTGACACTTTAGAAACCTAGATTTTTTTTAACCTTTGGTCTTGAAATTTCATTTGAGAGTACTAATGTCATCTGAAATCTCATCTTCCCCCTTCTTTAAATGGTGTACGGACATGTCATGTTTGAAAGGTCAATTTTGAGATTGGTATTTCTGACACTCATATCCGTGTCAAATGCTGACATACGTATTTATGTAGCATAGATTATCAAGACGAAATGCCAAATTTTGATAATTCAAGCTAACTTATCCACCATGGGGTTTATTTAAATTATCTAAAGGACACGGTTAGCATGTGCCCAAGCCTGCACATGTAGAAATGCAGGTTTGGCAATAAACATAATTTTTAATTATAATTGATCTTAATTTTTAGAGAATATATAATCTTTAACATGGAAATCATGAATATGAATAAATAAATAAATTTTGAAAACTAGAAATAATAATTATATTAAAGAAAACATTTGGACCATTAGTTACAATTGTTTTTAGATGGACCACCTATTTGCATCCATTTTTAAGATGGATGCTTTATACCTCTTGACCGCATATTGTACAATTGCGGTTCAGTCCGCATGAAACGATTGTTCTTATCTAAAATAGGATGCCGCATTGAAATAGGCACTGTTTTATGCATTTGTTCGCTAAACAAGACATGTGTGTGTGTGTGTGTGTGAGAGAGAGAGAGAGAGAGAGAGAGAGAGAGAGTAGACGAGTAAGGAGTCGTCCACCCACCGTACTACCTTATAACGAAGTAGTAGTTACTTTCGTTTCGATTAGGTTAGGATACGTAACTT